TACTGTCTGATTAGATTAAACTTCAGACACCTGGATATCATAACGATACTGTCTGATCAGAGACATTGAAAGGGAAGGAACATGGGAGAATGTAAGAGGAAAACTAAGTGTTAAAATATAGGGCTTTTGCTGCCCAACATGGCTTCTTCTGGTAACAGATCTCATCCCACTTAGATGGTACATCACTCAACTGTAGTAGGATGATTAAATTTATATGTTTACTTGACTGGGCTAAGGGATACCCAGATAGCTAGTAAAACATTATTTCTGGGTTTGTCTGTGAGAGGAGAGTGTTTCTGGAATAGATTATCATTTGTATCAGTAGACTGAATAAAGACTGCTCTCACCAATGCTGGTGGGCATCATCCAATCTGTTGGGGCCTGAATATAATAAAATGGCAGAGGAAGTGCAAATTTGCTGTTTGCTTGAGCTGGGATATCTATTTACTCTATTCCTGTCCTTTAGACATTGGCACTCTTGTTCTCAGGCCTTTGGACTCAGACTGAATTATACCACCAGCTTTCCTGGTTCTCCAGCTTGCAGGCAGCAGATCATGTGATTTCTCAGCCTCCATAATCATGTGATTCCTATAGTTAATAAACAAACAAACCACAAAAAAATTGGTTCTATTTCTCTGGATATCTCTGACCAACACATATTGATAATCAGAGAACTCTGTTTCTCTGGCCATTGTTATTAGTTTAGGGATAGACTCAGTTCTAGAACTTTTGCTGGAACCATTGAGAACATGTTTCTACTGGGGTTGCTAAGTGGTAAGATGCAAATCTGTAGCTCTTGGTGGATATCTTGGCCATCATGCAGGGAGAGCCTGCTTAAGAAATGAGTCAACATAGAGGAGATCAGGGCCAACAAATAGAAACAGATTGCTGGTGACATCATTTGAGCACCTGGGTCTAGCTATGCCTAAAATTACCCCTGTGATTTTTCAATTAGTATCATTAACCCATTTCTTTTGGCTTAAGCTTATATGTGTTGTATTTTTATCACTTGTTAGCAAAATATCTCCTCTCTCTCTCTCTCTCTCTCTCTCTCTCTCTCTCTCTTTGCATGTGTGGGCACATATTCACTGATATCCTGGTTAAGTAGGGAAGGCTTCCTGGAAGAAGTGAGGCCTGAGCTACATCTTAAAGTATTGGTAGAAGTTACCTAAAGCAAAGGGAAATGTACTCTAGGTAGAGAGACAGCATGAGTAAAAGTATAGAGGTAGGAAACACCACGAAATGAGGGGGGTGGGGATATTGTAAGTATTTTGATGTTGCCAGAGGGTAGAGTGAGAGTCAGAGGAGGAAGAACCAAAGTTAGGAGGGCATGGCAAGGGCCAGTATGTGGAGCATAAGATGGCAATTTTTATTTTTTATATTCCTTTTCTATAACTCAGCCAAATTTTTACATTTTTTTCTCCTTTTGTTATTAGTTCTCCAGTAACATGTACCATTAAACAACATCAGAGTAGAAATATTTCTAGGCCTGGGGTTTGGTCAGTCTCAGGACCCTTTTTGGGTTCTAAATCACTAAAGTAGCCTCTTTGTAGTGTCTTAGTTGCTGGCTGCTCTAGGTCAGGCAATCCTTATCTTCCATGAGGAATAGCCAGCCCAGGGAAAGAGACAAATACAATAAAATATGATCAGGGCCACAATGAAGTGATATAAAGGGTGAAGTGAAATCATCAAGAAAGAAGAGCTTAGAGGTACCAAGTATGACCTTCAAACTGATTTGAAGAAAGTATAGGGATTTGCCAGATGGACAAGGGTGAAGTGGAAGGCATTCCAGGTAGAAAGAAATGTTTGTAAAATGACCTAGAGATACAAGAGAACAGGTTGTGCTTGGGGTAACTGCCCATAATTTGGTACTTCTGGAGATCTAAGTGTTTGGGGTGGGGTGATTAGGAAGTGGCAGGGGTAAAGTACTGGCTATGTAGCAAGGAGCCACATAATAAGGATCTTAGTCAAGGGACTTAGATTTTATTCAGGAAACAATGCAGAACCATTGGAAAAAATAGACAGAGGAGTGACATACAGTTTTTGTTTAGGAAGAGTTCCCCAGCTTCAAAATGCTGCAAAGTGAAGAATGGATTAGAGTCATCTGGGGAGAACAGCAGGCATGAGGGAGCTCAGTTAGAAAGCTGTTCCGATGGTCTAGGTGTGAGATGATGATGAAGTGGCAGTGGGCATGGAGATAAGTGGATGGATTTGAGAGCTATTTTAGGGCTAGAAATGACAGAGCTTGGTGACTAAGTGAATGCCAGTGATGTTGGGGGAAAAAAAGAGGAATTAAGTATGATATCCAGGTGTCTGAAGTTTAATCTAAACCAGTGGAAAAAACAACAACCATTATAACTGCCCTATGTATTAGAACATTAAGTATTGTCAGGCTGCTGACAGCTGTTTCAGAATTCAGGAACCTCTTTCTTTAGCAATCTGAGCTGTCAAACTCTCAAAAAAAAAATATGAGCCAGGCATCCTCGAATTTGAACATAAGTCCTTATGTATGACTTTGTTCATGAATCTACATGGGTGGAGGGGTGTATGATGTGTACACATCTAGACACATGGGACCACTTCCCTTGAAGAAAATATTTGGAGTAAGTAATCCTTTGCAGAAGCCCATCTGACACTCCTAGACAAAGGCAGTTGTCTTTGTCTTTCCTCTTTGGACTAGATTATTCTAGATTCAAGCCAAAAGAAAACAACTTCCTCTTCAGCCAATGTTTCATAGACAGGGTTCATTTCTACTTAGTCCAGAGTAAAAATAAAGTAT